TCTTGGCTCACTGCAACCTCCATCTCCTGGGTTCAAGTGATTTGCCTGCCTCAGCCTCCTGAGTAGCTGGGATTACAGGCATGCGCCACCATGCCCGGCTAATTCTGTATTTTTACTAGAGACACGGTTTCACCGTGTTGGTCAGGCTGGTCTCGAACTCCTAAACTCAAATGATCCCACTGGCTCGGCCTCCCAAAGTGCTGGGATTACAGGTGTGAGCCACCTCCACACCTGGTCTCAGTCTATGGTATTAATAGTATCATTTCCAAACTAAAATATCCAGTATCTGGGTCCACATTTCAGCTGCGTGACTTTGGGCATGGTACTTAACCCTTCTAGGCTTCAGCTGTCTGTTTTGTAAAATGGGAACAAAATACCCATGAGTTCGTTTGTGTTGTGTATCCTGGGATGCTCCCGTTTGGGTGGAATCTGCTCGTGAGCTTGTGTGCCTTGCAAACCTTCCCTGAGCGCCTGCACTGCGCCTGGTCTTGTGCTGGGCGGGGTGCCCAGGGGAGGAGCCCTTAGCTCACCACAGTGATCAAGACATCCCTAGCCCTGCCCTCATAGGCTCACAGTCCACTGAGGGGGACAACCCATCCCCAGCCAGGGACTCCCCAGAGTGTACAGGGCTGAGGTGGGGGAGCTCAAAGGGGGAAACTGACCCAGCCAGGGAAGGCAGACGGGGCTTCCTGGAGGAGGGGATGGTACAGCTAATCCTAAACAGTCATCTGTTCCAGTGTAACAGTTGCTGTCTCGGATGGACTCAGTGGCTTATGCCTGTAATCCCAACACTTTGGAAGGCAAGAGGAGAGTTGGAGACCAGCCTGAGCAACATAGTAATACCCCGTTTCTATGACGAAAAACTACAAAAATTAGCTGGGTGTGGTAGCACACACCTGTAGTCCCAGCTACTTGGGAGGCTGAAGTGGAAGGATTGATTGAGCCCAGGAGGTGGAGTTTTCAGTGAGCTATGATTGCGCCACTGCACTCCAGCCTTGGTGACAGAGCAAGACCCTCTCTAAAAACAAAAAACAAAAGCATTGCTCTCCCGTGTGGCCAATGGATAAAGCAACCTTGACCAGTCTAGTAACTCCCAGGCTCACCTGTAATCCAAGCCTTCTCTGTGTTTCTGAACAGGCAAAGCCCCCCATCCCCACTTCCGACCACTGTCCCTGGCTAGCTTCTTCCAGGTAACTAGTGACATCTAGTGGGGGATTTTGTCCGAGTCTGACCTGGCCTGTAGGGGCCTCGTGCGGTCGGACCTGTGACCCCACCCTTCCTTGCCGCCGCTGGACTCCTCCCCCTCCCCGCAGGTGCCCTGGCCTCCTCCCTATCCTCCTCACCTGCTCCCGCCAGCCCGACTCCTCCCCTCCCCACGAGGTTTCGAGGGAGTCGAGCCGAGAGCGGGAAGGAGAAAGGGAGGGTGGCATTCCTGGGATTCTCTGGATTGGGGGACGAGTGGGAGGGCCTTCCATGGGTGAGCAAGCGAGCGAGCACCCCGCACCCCACCCCCAGCCGCATCATCAAAGTGGCCTAGGAGGAACTGGATTTGAAGACCGTTGGAGTTAAGAGGTTAAACGGGTTGATTCCAGGCGGCTGGGCAGACGAGGAAAGCCGCCCAGAGCGCTGACCACAGGGGAAAACATAATGGGAGCAGCTGCTGGGGGCCACTGGTTAGACTGGGAGAGGCCAGTGCAGGCCACCGGTTGCAGTGGGATCTGCTGGCTAAAATCGACAATGCCAGCCTAGGCTGCTGGTCCCAGTGGGGACGAGTCCCCAGGTCAGACTAACCGGGAGAGGGTCCGCGATTGCCTGGGGAGACCGTAGCCCGGGTGACGGGCTACATGGGTCGATCAGGACCCCCGCTGCGGGCGCTGGTCAGTTACCCGGGACAGCCCTGGGCTTGGGGGCGGAGGGAGCCCCGAGCCTGGCCCCGTGCACTGGGAGGTCCGCTCCGGGCAGTGGGAGGTCCTGGCCCCGCGCCCGGGCACGGGGGGACGAGGGGGGACGAGGGGGGCCTGGCGGGCGGGGCGGGGCGGGGCGGGGCTGCCGGGGGCGGGGCTTCTGGCTCCCAGCCCCGCAGCGGCCGAGCTGCAGCCCGGACTCAGTCGCCGCCGCCGCCGCCGTGAACATGGAGCCCCCAGACGCACCGGCCTGGGCGTGCGGGGCGCTGTTGCTCGCAGTCCTGCTGGCGGCGCACCCAGGTATGGTTCAGTCTGAGAGCAAGGTGGGACTGGGGGGAGGCCACTGGAGACCCCAGGAAAGCAAGGAGAAGGGGCTTTACGCTGACTCCAGGAAGCAAAATGTGGGGACCCCAGGGAGGAGGGATACGGGAGTGTTGGAAGGTTCGCCTTCCAGTGAGAGATCTGGGCACGGCCAGGCGGGAGAACCGGGGATACCCAGGCGGTGGGTCAGAGACAACCAGAGAAGCCAGCCCCCTTCCCACTCGGCACCCTGGAATCCGGGTTCCACCTGCCTCCTCCCTCAGGCCCTGGAATCTGGGCCCCCAGCCCCTCTTTCCTCAGACCCAGGAGTCCAGGCCTCCAGCGGCTAGAATGGCTTCCCCCAGGGCACAGAGAATCAAAATCCTAGGCCTTCCTCCCTCAAAGGTCCTCAAGTTTTGAGAGGGCCTGGGACCCTTTAGAGAATCGAGGACCACGTGTCCCAGCACCAGCGATCCATACATACTTAGGAATTCCCAGAGTCCAGTATAAAGAACCCGCCTCCCTCAGGAAGGGGCTGGAGCACCAGCCCCAGGCAGTGACAGTGGAACAAAATGTTTCCAAGTGACAGGCCCCCTTCCTGGGGCCTCAGCTATTCACACACCTGCGTGGGGACAGACAGAGAGGAAGCCCTGGTGGGGGGCCAGGGACAGAGGGACAGAGAGATGACGGGCTGGGAAAGAGAGAGGAAATCTCTGCCTGCACTTGCTGTCTGCGCCTCAGACTCAGCCCTAGGCACCCGCCTGGCCCCTTTCGCCCCTCCCTGGGGACTGGCTGGGGCCAGAGGTGAGTGCCTGGGAATCCAGGACCCTGGCACATTCACGGTCAACAGTGGGTCCCCAGGGGTAGGGCTGGGCCAGACTGAGCAGGGAAGGGAAGGGAGGTTCTAAGAACAGAACTGATACCAGGATGCCAGCCCAGAGGGTGAGAGAGGGTGGGGTTTTTCTACAAGAACGACTCCACCAGGCACCAGCCTCCTCTCCCTCTGCTCCCAGGAGTCCAGGCACCCCGCTTCCCAAGATCCTGGGCCTCAACATTATCCTGTTGCAAAATGACTCACCTTATCCGATTTGCTGTTGTATCAAATGGAGAGGGGGGCCAAGAGGCGGTGGGGGGCTCTGGCTCCAGGCTGGGCAGGTCTCAGCCAGCCTGTCCCTCCCACATTCCTGAAACCTGCCCAGCCCTGTCCCCCCTCACCACCCCCACACACCCATCCCGCCTAAGCTCCAGGCCCAGCTGCAGCCCACACCCCAGCCCCCCACTCATGAGAGGGCGGAAGAAACCCGGGAGCTGAGAGGTGCAGGTGCAGAGAGAGGCAGAGACAGGGACAGAGATGGAGACCCAAAAGGAGAGACACACGCAGAGGTGGAGACTAGGATGGAGAGAGACATTTAACCAGCATCACAGAGATGGCCCTGCCCAGGGTGCTGGAGGCGAATGGCTGTGCCAGGCCTGGTCCTGCCCTGGGGAGGGGCTTGTGCTCTGTGGGGGGCAGCAAGGGCAGGTGGAGGATTACCCCACGAGTGTTCCTCGGAGGCTGCAAGGCCCTGTGCAGCCCAGAAGGAGCCCTGGGCTCTGTAAGTGCAGAGAGAGATGCGTCTGAGACCAGAGATGCAGAAGGGATGCAGGCGAGATGACCTCAGGAATGAGGGCTGGGGGCCTGGACTCCTGGGTCTGAGGGAGGAGGGGCTGGGGACCCGGACTCCTGGGTCTGAGGGAGGAGGTGCTGGGGGCCTGGACACCTGGGTCCAGGGGTAGAGGGAACCCTGTCTGGAGGGCTCCTCCTCTTGGTGTGGGGGACGATGGCTCAGTTGTCCTCTTGCAGATGCCCAGGCGGAGGTACACCTGTCTGTGCCTCCATTGGTGGAGGTGATGCGGGGAGAGCCCGTCACCCTGGACTGCACCCCTACGGGAACCCACGACCATTATGTGCTGGAATGGTTCCTTGTGAGTGCTTGGGGCTGGGGTCGGGGGAGGCGGAGGGGGCTGGAGTCAGGACACAGCAGGGCCGAACAGGGTCATTCTCTCATCAGTGCCTATGGCCTGTAGAGATCCACCAAGCCACACTCTGTGTTACAGGTGGGGCTGCTGAGTCCCACCGAGGGGAAGGAATCTGTAGGGTGCCCCGCGTTTGAGCGCAGCTGAGTCTAGAATGATGTGGTCGTGCTGTGGACTGCGGGCTCCTGAGAGAGAGAACAATCAAAGAGAGACAGACACCAAGAAAGCAGGAGAGGCCAGGCGTAGTGACTACCGCCTGTAATCCCAGCACTTTGGGAGGCCCAGGCAGGCAGATCACTGGAGGTCGGGAGTTCAAGACCAGCCTGACCAATATGATGAAATGCCGTCTCTATAAAAATATAAAAATTATCCGGATGTGGTGGCGGATGCCTGTAATCCCAGCTACTTGGGTGGCTGAGGCAGGAAAATCACTTGAACCCGGGAGGCAGAGATTGCAGTGAGCCGAGATTGCACCACTGCGCTCCAGCCTGGGCAACAGAAGGAGACTCCATCTCAAAAGATAAAAAGCAGGGGACTAGGGAGATCAGGGAGGACTAAAGAGAGAAAATGAGAGACAGGTGGGAGAGGGAGAGACAGGAGGAGGGATGGGGCCGGCTGAGACGGAGAATAGGAGGCCGGGGCAGGAGGAGGTGGGGAGGGACCGAGGGACCAGAGAGAGCCATAATGAGAGGAAAAGAGGCAGAGCCTGGAGCCACAGAGAGAGAAGCTGAGGATCGCCCCCTCTCGTGCGCGCCCGCAGACTGACCGCTCAGGAGCTCGCCCCCGCCTGGCCTCCGCGGAGATGCAGGGCCGGGGCTCGGAGCTCCAGGTCACAGTGCACGACAGCAGGGGCCGCAGTCCCCCGTACCAGCTGGACCCCTGGGGGCGCCTGGTGCTGGCTGAGGCCCAGGTTGGCGACGAGCGAGACTACATGTGCGTGGTGAGGGCAGGGGCGGCGGGCACTGCCGAAGCCACCGCGCGGCTCAGCGTGTTTGGTGAGTGTCCTCCGGCATCCCCCAAAGGGAGGCAGGCAGGGAGGGGCACAGGGCAGGGGCTCCTGACACGAACGTCTTTTTCACAGCAAAGCCAGAGGCCACCGAGGTCTCCCCCAACAGAGGGACACTGTCTGTGATGGAGGATTCTGCCCAGGAGGTATCTCTGGAGGGACCTTGATTACAGGATTCTGGAGGAGGAGGGGACAAAGGCCTGGACTCCTGGGCCTGAGGGAGGAGGGGCTGGGGACCCCTTGGTAATAAAGGAGGAGGTGTAAGGCCAGGCGTGGTGACTCACGCCTGTAATCCCAGCATTTTGGGAGGCAGAGGAGGGCCTCAGAGGATCTCCTGAGGTCAGGAGTTCTGGACCAGCCTGGCCAACATAATGAAACCTGTCTCTACTAAAGAGAAGAAAATTAGCCGGATGCGGTGGTGCACAACTATAATCCCAGCTACTCTGGAGGCTGAGGCATGAGAATCACATGAACTTGGGAGGCAAAGGCTGCAATGAGCTGAGATCATGCCACTGCACTCCAGCCTGGGCCACAAAGCGAGACTCTGCCCCCCTGCCAACAAAAAAAAAAAAAAGAAAGGAGGGGCAGAGGGGGAAGACGCTTGTGTCCTGGGAAGGAGAGAGCTGGGGGACCCGGAATCCTTGGTCTTCAGTCTGAGGAGTCGGGGACTAGGAATTCAGACTCTGGGGTCCTGGGAGAGTCGGGAGTGAGGAGCACAGCTCCTGAGTCTCAGTAGGGAGAACTCCTGAGGGAGCAGGAGCCCCGACTTCAGAGCCCCAGCTCCGAGCCCAGGGCCACGCCTGTGTCTGCCTCAGATCGCCACCTGCCATAGCAGGAATGGGAACCCGGCCCCCAAGATCACGTGGTATCGCAATGGGCAGCCCCTGGCAGTGCCCGTGGAGATGAACCCAGGTGAGTGGCGCGGGAGCTCAGCGAGGCGTGGGCTGGGGTGGGCGGCGGGGCCTGGCTGAGCGACACCTCCCCCTGTCTGTCGCAGAGGGTTACATGACCAGCCGCACCGTCAAGGAGGCCTCCGGCCTGTTGTCCCTCATGAGCACCCTCTACCTGCGGCTCCGAAAGGCCGACCGAGATGCCACCTTCCACTGCGCCGCTCACTACAGCCTGCCCGAGGGCCACCATGGCCGCCTGGACAGCCGCACCTTCCAGCTCACCTTACACTGTGAGTCTGTGCTGGCCTCTGACCTCTGATCTTAGGGTGCACACCTCACTGAGGCCTGACCCTCCAGCCGGTGGCCTCACACTCCCCTCTGGCCCTCCACCTCCCTACTTCATGCCAAAAAAATGTGCTAGTGCTGGCCACTGACCTCTGGCCTCTACAAGCCCCATCCTGACCTCTGACCTCTGACCTCTAACCTCCACTGAGCACCCTGGCCTCCATGGAGTTTATGACTAAACGGTGCCTTCCACCCTCTCACCCTGAACTGGGGCCCCCTATGACAGCTGGCCCCACATCTCACACTGGCCTGTTGCCCACAGGGACCTCTGACCCTGGACCTAGACTCCCCGTTTATTTCAACCTCTGAACTCTGGCACTTCATCTCTGAATAAGCATGACCCTGAGGCTTGAAACCTATGACCCTAACCTTGACCTGCCATAGCCCTCTCCTGGGATGCAGGGTTGACCCCTCACCTGTACTCTAACCTTGACCCTTCCCCTGATGATGATTCTCATCTCCCGGCCCTTCCCTTAGATCCCACGGAGCACGTGCAGTTCTGGGTGGGCAGCCCGTCCACCCCAGCGGGCTGGGTGCGCGAGGGTGACACTGTCCAGCTGCTCTGCCGGGGTGACGGCAGCCCCAGCCCGGAGTACACACTTTTCCGCCTTCAGGTGACCCACCCAAGGGTCCCTCTGGGATCCACCCCCCAGCCCCTGACCTCTGTGACCTACTAACCTGCATAACTTCTAATGTGGGACCTGGGAGGCCCCTGGCTTAGGCAGCCACCTGATCTGGTGGTCCACGACCTCTGACCGACTGCTGATTTGAGAGAGTCAGGATTTAGCATGCAACCTGACCTGATGACCCCTGACCCCTGTTAGGGTCTGGGTTAGCATGTCCCTAACCTGATGGCTTCTGACCTAGCATAACCCTGCTGAACCAGGGTGGCTTCTGAGCCAGGTTCCTTGTCCCCCGTCTCCCAGGACAAGCAGGAGGAAGTGCTGAATGTGAATCTTGAGGGAAACTTGACGCTGGAGGGGGTGACCCGGGGCCAGAGTGGGACCTACGGCTGCAGAGTGGAAGACTACGACGCCGCGGAGGACGTGCAGCTCTCCAAGACGCTGGAGCTGCGCGTGGCCTGTGAGAGCCCTGGGGGAAGAGGAGGGCACGAGGGGTCCTGCCATCAGGGCCTCTGCGCCCTCCTGTCCACAGCCCTGAAATTGCTCTGTCATCTCACACACTCTGCCTTCAACCCTTTCACTGCATTTCTTTTTTTTTTTTTTTTTTT